GGGAGGGGGGAGGGGAGGAGGAGGGGAACACCGCGTTCCCGTGGAACGATTATTGTCACGGGGCTTCGATCTGTCGGGGAACATCCATCCATTTTCTCGGCATACAATTCACGCTCTCGGACGTTTTGCCCCCGTTTATCTGGCAATTAAGATCTCGCTCGTATTTGATCGGCCCCGCCCGGACGTGTGTATTTATTTTTCGATGTATGATTTAGCGGCATTGAAGAGCGCCGCGACAAATGGAAACGTCTCATTTTCCACGGACGCGCGCAACGTCGAGCGACAGTTTCCGTATAGTTGACACAACCCGCAATTTAGAGAAAGGATTTTTACATTATTTAAAAGATAAAAAAATGTATTGGGTTGACGTCAATTTTTTTTTTTTTTAGATTATCACCGCTTTCACACTCTTTTTTATACTATTTTATCCTTTATTCCAATTTTCTTACGCCCATAGCTCTCGAAAATCTCTCCACATCACGGAAATTGATGAGAAAGTTTATTTACAGCAAGAATTTACGTGCGAAATAAATGTCGAGTAAAATACAATTCTTGTTGTAAGAAATTGACGAAACGGAAATTATTAACTTTTGATCGTTCTGTTCCCAATCGATATGCGAAGCATGGGAAAAAATGGGGCGAGAAGTGCCGACGTCCGTCGTCATCCTTATCGTCGACGAGCCGGCGCGTCCGGGGCGCATGTAGCAACTTGAGCGCGATAATTACCGGAGTCGGTCAACCTGTACGCGCGGCCCGGTATATGCGGGTTATCTAACGTTTTAGTGCCAGATGTCCATCCTGTCCGGCCAATTTCCTCCGTTGGTCACACGCATACACGTATGCACATGCGTGTTCGCGTATTCGATGCGCCCGGCGACGCGAGGGTCCCCGCATTAGAGGAGGCATCGCGTATATATCGTCCGACCCCGGGGTAATTGTGGCAACGACGACGACGGAAGTGTCAGATTAGAATCTGAGATGCTCCCGGGAGCACGCGATGCTTGTCCTAGCCCCCTCGAACTATTAGGCACTTCTCTCTCTCTCTCCCTCTCTCTCTCTCGGGCTCTTCGCTACCCCCGAGGCATTAGCCCTTAAACGTTCTTGCCAGTGGTGCTTTTACTTGCGAAAGACGGTGACTCGTATTCGATATTCCAGCTCGATATCTTGGCAATCTTTGCGATATTAAGGTTGTTCCGAAATTCGAAATAAAAATAGTTTTCGCTATTAATCGAAGTTTATGATTTACGATAGAGATTAAGTGTAAATGATTAACAATTTTTTTTTTTTTTGTTAACGAGAACACGACTCCAGATTGGGAAACAATCACGCGAGAATTCATATGATCCTATCGTCATTCGAGATCTATAATTCCTCTTAACACTGCTGAACACGCGTCGACAGTCCACCGTCTGTCTTTATACCGATCGTATCGATCATTGTCCGGTTGCACACACCCGGAGTATTTATTCCGCTCCTCTGCCAAACAATTTGCCGAGAGAGATCGTATCGGGCCCACGCGAGCACGGATTACCGACGCGCGAAACGTCAAGGTATCGATCTCCTCCTCCTCTTCGCTAAATGGATCGGCCCGGTAATGGACAGATTCGGCGATATCGTTCCGCTCGTGATACGTACATACCTATCTCTTCGCGGAGAGAAAGAGAAACCCGGACCCCTGCGCGGGCCCGTGAAGATGATGATTACCTTTTCCCCGGCGAAATCTCGGCGCATCTCTCGCTCGCACCCGCTGTCGCTCCTCAAAGAGATCGGCGATCTCGAAATCTGTACGGCCGGAATAACATTTCCATCGCGTTAGCATAAAATTATCCGCGTGCCATTACCGTTCATTAGCAAGTCAAATTGGCCAGATTGAGCACCGCTGGAGCCCTTCAGTTTTGGAGGAACGACCGGTTGGTGGGCCTCGTGGCAGGCTACAACGGCACCAACGGCGGACGGTACCAATCGGCCAACCCGTTACCGCGGGTGAACCGGGGCTAAACCGAAATAAAGTGGGGTACACCTACCTTTGCCCACCACCGGGCGGATTCCCCTCGCTATCTTGATCGACAACCCCGTCGGTGCTCTTCACCTGTGAACGACATATGCGCGTGCGGCCCGCTCTGACGACAGTGTGACCGCACTTTACGTTAATTTGTCGATGAGATAACGCGCGTTATAAGAAAAAAAAAAAGGAAGACCAGTCGCGGATATGATTAACAACAGCACACACATCCTGGCACCGATAAACATCCTTACGGAAGATGGACGTCACGGAAATTGATGAGAAAGTTTATTTACAGCGAGAATTTACGTGCGAAATAAATGTCGAGTAAAATACAATTTCTATTGTAAAAAAATGAAACGGAAATTATCTCTCTCGTCCTCTCTCTCTCTCTCTTTCTCTCTCATCTTGAAATTTGCATTTTTCGCTCTTATTATTTATGTTTCTACTCCACTGTTGCAGCAAGTGGCCACGCCAACAGTGGTGAAGAAGATTTTAAGAATGAAGCAGGAACAGCCGACGATGTTCGCCTGGGAGATTCGCGAGCAGCTCGCGCGCCAGGGTGCTTGCGACCCCCAGAGCTTACCATCCGTATCTTCGGTCAATCGTATTCTCAGAGGCGGCGGGCTCCACACGGATATCCCCACCATCGAGAGCGGCACATCCGGCGGATACACGTCGCAAATTCCGTCGAACGCCGGAACCAGAGGTGAGGATCGACGACGTTACTAAAAGATCGCGGGCAATCTTTTGTCATGACGGAACACAATGTCGATTTTATACACTGGAGAGAAATGGACGAGCGATAGATTGCAATCGAGGGAGAAAGGGGGGTAAAGGGACGAGCGGCCGCGTCTATCCTCGGCTATACGAAACTTCGTGAATCATTATATGCAGGCCAAAGCTACGTTGTTGCTACGAGTGCACCATTACAGACTAATGACGCCTTAAACACCTGTCCCTAGCGTGGAATTGCTCCGCGGCGACGGATTCCTCTTCCTTTTTTTTCTCTCTTGCGGTTATTTTCAGAAGAAAGACGATAAATGTCCGAAAACGACGACGGCCAGCGAGCCGGAGGAGAAGAATAGGGTGAGCGATCGTGAACGGACATGGGGTGGGGAGGAAAGGGGGAAAATTTCGAGACACCCCGTTGCCGTGATTGACTCGTCAGCAAAAGCCACGCAGAGCAGGCAGGGCAACGGGCACGCAATCCCGCGCTGTCGAAACGGAAAATTTGCTTCGTAATTTGTGCTGCTGCTGGATGCTGTAAGCGGTGCTCAATTTACCGGCTTTGAGCAGCTAATTGCGAAACGAGCTCTCCGGATTCTCTCATCTTCATCTTTCTCCTAAACCATAGCTAAATCACGAGTGACAGCTAATATCTAGAAGAGAGTTCGCATTTTGTATTTGGTTAAAATATTATTTCACAGACAATATATCTGTACGTTTGTGATATAAATTGGAGAAGATAATCGGATGCAACTAAAAAATTGCAGGCAAAAACTAGTTTGGAATAAAATTTATAAACAGAATAGATATCGGGATAAAAAAGTATTTATTATTTTTGACGGTCGTAAAATATTATAAGAACCTCATATTAGTAGATTCATTTATTAACAAATAAAAATGTGTCACACGTGACGAATTTATTGCAGCAAATAACTTCAGAATGGAAAAGGAGAGACATGACATACATTGACGTTTCTGCAGGATAAATGATTCTTAATATTAAATTAAAGATCTTATACACGATAGAAAAATACGTATCCGCGCATATTTTCCCATAAATTTCATTGTAACGATATCTGTAATGAGGAATTTTTTTGAATAACTTTTTCTTCCCGAATCGATTCAAAAACTATAGTAATGATATGCAATTGCTCTGTTTCTTTTTCTCAGATACACTCATGAGAACCGACTATCAGTTGTTCTATCCGGGTGCCCTAGGTCCGCTGCACATCTCCACAAACAACAGCAATACCGGCACGCCGTCTTGGAATCAGAGCTTTTATTCATCCCTCTACCAAGCGACGACTTTGCACTTGCAACACGGAATGCAATCATTCGCGTAAGTCAATCCCTAAATTTCTTAATTCAATGACATAATCGATTCGATAGACGTGTATATTTTAATTAAATGCATTTATAAATTTATTTTTACAGACCTTTGGATGCCGAACGTCTGTCGGAACAAACCGGCGCGCAGAGTCAGCTGGAGTTGAAGTCGAGCTCAAGCTCGACGGCCGGTAGCGATGATTCGTTGGATAAAAGCGACCTAGACGAAAATCTTGTCGATTCGCAGGATCATTACAAGTCCTTCCGAAGCACACCGATCATTTTAGAACTCAGCCAGAAAATCGGCAGCGATCGCAGTGCATTCGTCAGGCACGCCACGCCCAATTCGCACGCTGTAAACTTGGACAACTCGCGGGAGAGCCCGTTATCAATCGTCGAGAAGCAGGATCGTCCCATGTCATACAGGATTCTCGAGGCGAAGAACATGAGTCCGAGCACAACGACGATGACGACGACGAACGAAAGCGCAGCGGTGGAAAATCAGCCACCGCAGCCGCAGAAGAAGAAGAATCCCTACTCGATAGAAGAGTTATTGAAGAAGGACGAGAGCAAATCTCCACCCAGGAGGCCGAGATTGCCCAATATCGGCGTGGTGCAACCCTGCGGAGTTGTTGTCAGTAAGGAGATATAAAAGGATATTATAGCGCCCAAACACGCGAGTTTTCGGGATAAGGCGCGTTGTGTATTTATGCAAAACGCAAACTATATCGTGATAATCATTGATGATGAATCTCCGTTCGGGCGAACGTTATACGGCGTACATCTCGGCTGTAGGCATATGTAGGTATGTGTAGTATTGCCAGGTGCAGAGAAATACTGACCGATACGTGCGAAACGCATTTAATGAAAATTAAAGGCTTACATACTACCTTGATATATATAACTTGAGAATTATTTCTTTGCACCTGTGATGAATAATCTTTGCGGGTATAATGAGAGTAGCGAATGTCCTATAAGTGTCTAACTTAGAGTATCGATTAAGCATAGGAGTTGATGGAAGAGATTAGAAGCGGATAGAGTTGAAGTTTTCTCCTTCGAGAGAGAACGTGGCTGTTTTGTGAAGTAAAAGAAGAGAAATGGTACGCGCGAAGCCATACGTAATGTTAGGATCGATGACTGTAATTATCGATTGTAACTTGTAACGCGTAGTGAAGTATACGTAATCTCTCTTTGTGTGTAAGTTAACTTATAATTAAATTATTTTTTCCATTTTTTCCGCGTTGCTATAATCTTTCGAATGCCGGTGTTGTTCTCATCGGCAATTGAATACAAGACTATTAATCGCATTGAGAATTTAAGACTTTGCTTAAACTTGTGTGTTTGACATAAAAGAAGCCAGTTACGACCATGCGAAGTAATTGGAAATCCGGAAAAAGTTTTCTTTTTTACTGCTTTCACTGATTTATCTTACAATTCGTCGAATTTGTCACCGACAGTGAAATATCAATTAACGTCACCAGTCTCTCCTCGCGCGTAATTAACGTAACGCAATAACTTGGACACTTCCAGACCGCTATGTCACGCGATGAAATTCGACATTATCGCACATGCTTTTTGAAGGGAATTAATCGAGACATGATTCCGCGCCCACCGACACGAAAAAATAAACACGATACGATGCCTAATAAAAGTCGGCAACAAAAATTTTTATATTTTTTTTTATTTAGGTTGAATAATCTACTAAATTTTAGACATCTTCGACTGCCCGCTCGCGTATTGTTCGCCGAAACGTCAAATGGGCAATTACGCGTCTCTATTGTGACTCTTCGCACTTTAGAGCCCGGTGCGAAATAGCCGCTGCGATGCCGTTATGCTAGCGCGGAGGATCGAGAAATTAAATGAAATGCCTAATAAATAAACGGCCGTAAAACATGCGGATGGAGCCGTAGCAGTAAAACCATAAACGATTCGGTCGAGGGTGTCATACATGGACATGTCCCGTGTGTATACCTTGTAAAATACGACGATATGTCACTCGCTTAAAAAAAGGAGGAATTAAACAGCGACGTTACATCGAGCAGCCGCATCGGTTCCTCCTTTCTCTATCTCTTTTTGCATTTACAACGTTGTAAACCTTTGCATCTCATTCCTCATCGCGGACTAATTAATGTACTATAAAAACGCCAGTGCTTTAATGTCGAACGATTTGCTCGCTTTGCTGTCTCGCGCCTGCCAATTGCGCGCGCTCGCGAGCTATTTCGAGCTGACATCTCGATCTCACGAGAACCATGAAAGAGATGTCGTTCCTCGCGCGCTTTCTTTTACTTATGACGAATGAATCTTCTTTGTCCGCCGCAAATTGGCTCAATAATATCCGCATAGAAAGGGAAACGCGGGAGAAACCTGGGTACGCTTAAGCTATCTTACATAAGCGGAAGTTATTGCTAACGCTCAAACCTTTTCTTTTATTTGCCATACACGGAGATTATTAGACCTTAAGATGAGTGTGAAACACATCCCAAAAGGGAAGAGACCCGTTATTCGTGTAGGCTTGAAATATTTATTTTAGATTTAGACAATGCGAAGTTATACGAGTGAGCATTCCGTGTTTGACAAATTATTCGCGAGTTAAAAAAAAAAAAAGATCAGGTAAGACATCGATTCAAATATCTATCAGTCGAAGATGATTTTTAGATTCACCATGAGAAAGTACTTGCCAGTTTTACATTACACAGAATGCTCATATAGAGAGATCTGATATAATTAGAATATTAGTTCTGTACAATAATAATTGTGGTCGAACAGCCTTTCGTGGGTCTCTAAACGACTTTAAAGATGATGTCTTCAAAGTTATAGAATTAAAAAAAGGAAAAACGAGGAATAAACTAAACGGCGATTTGAACCAACGGCGCTGAATCAAACACGAGATGCCGAGCAGATTTTCCAGATATAATATTACAGGTGATTCGTTATAACTTTAAAATATCGCCGCACAGCAGACCTACGAAGACTGTCGCCTAAAAATCATGCAAGTTATCGACTAATTAATACTCGTAATAAACTTATCCTGTATAATATCATTAAATACACTAGTCAAAGTGACATATATGCCGTGTTTGCCTTGCACGTCTTTATGTTCGGCATGTTTTATGCATACGTCAACGAGTTATAAGAAAACGATAGTGATGCAGGAATAGTGTTGCATACCAAAACGCACATCGAAGCCGATGTAATAATAATAATTTAACGAGTTTTACAATCCAACTGTTTATGAATAATCATTGTTTTTTATTAGACATTAGCGACACCCACAAGAGGAAAGTCTTTTTACATATAAACTTTACGTCTTTTCGTCGAATCAATTAAAAATCGTCAAGTTGCGCACGAGTATAGCTACGTAAAATATTCGGTAAATATAGTAATTTTGTGGTAAAAAAGATTGATTCACAGTTTTATTCTCGATACTACATCGTAAAAGCACGTCACAATAAAATTAAGAACTTAAATAATTATATAACATGAATATATTCTCTGCTCTCTGATAATACGGCACGGATTGTGTTTATATAAAATTTCTATATATAATAATTTTCTTTTGAATTATATATCGCGTTTAACTTATATATAATTCAACACATTTAGAAAATCTAATACACGATTCTTAGAGAAATATATAACTGTTTGATTAAATATAATTAACACAATTTAACATGACACGCATTAATATATAAAGACAAGCATGAGATTAGAATAGAAAAGATTTAAATAGAAAAAAGCATTTTTCTTATTATAAAGAGGTCATTTTACAAATTGATATAAACGACATTTTAAAACTCATGTAATAGATCTTCTATAATCTTCATTAGAGAACTTTATAATAATTATACGTAATAATTGTATATATATGTAGGGAGAGTTTTTCAATAGCCTAAGAAAGACAACATATCGATGAGATATATGAATACATATACACATGTAAATGTAATAATATTCACGGCACAAAAACAATAATGAATGTTTAGTGGCTGAGAAAAAATTTCTATCATTGTATCTGTCTTATATATAGTTTCGTTGTTATAAATAGAGATTCTATTCCTGGTAAAACATTTAACGTTGCAAATGCAAATAACCCGAGCAATTGTGCGTTCAAGTCAGGGCGCATAAATTATCCACCACTCATTTCTTTTTATGTACAATATCGCTTTTCTTCATGTCTCTGGCAGACTATATACAGGTTTATTTAATAACCTTCGTTTTTTGTTTTTTTTTCTGACGATTGACTATCTCAGAGCTGGAAATTATGCTGCGAATGATTGAGAGTATTTGTCGACATGGTGTGCACCGGATGTGATGGTGCCGGAGTGTACAGACTATGATGCGAGTGCGACTTCGCCCTAGAGAGCTCGCTGTAGCGGTCCTGTTCAGGCGGTGCCACTAGGAGGACCGGTCTTAAAGACAGGGACTTACGGGAGCCAGCTACGCTCTGGGCCTCGTTGATGTAGCCTGGATTCACTTCGCCTGAAACAGATATAAAAGAATTGATATTATTAATAGTGAGATACAGTACTTTTCATTAAAGGTCCAAAAACAGCTGATTTACTCGGAAATATAATTAACGAAATTTAATAAGAATGTTCAAAGAATTGCTGGCTAATCACCTTTGTACAGGGATCCGTTATTAAAAGGCTCCGGTTGCAGCCTTACGTGTCTGGAGGCCAGGATGAAGGCAAGCGCCGACAAAGTAGCCGCGTCCAAAGCCGCAATCGCAGCGAGCGGTATCGCCCATCTCACGGCACAGGCGCCAGGATTGTATCTATCGAATAGCTTCTTAATTGCCAGTTTTCTCACGTTTATTGTGATCGCAATTATATTCTTAATGCATAACGCAGTAGCTATTTATCGCATTGCACCAATAATTTGCGAGCACATATTTAATTCAGAAGTTTAATACAATAAAGCGTACTCGTGCAAGGTGCGATTGATGATAATTTATATTAGCTATATATATTTTTTGATGAATTTAGAGTCGATTTTCTCTCAAATCGAAGGAAAGTCTTTCTCCCGACAAAAGAAAGGTTCTTATCTTTTTGTCGAAAATTATAAATAAAATTTGATGACTTTACAAAATAAACTCCAAAATAAAAAATAACACGTAAAGTAGTGCGTAAATAATACGCAAAGTAATAACACAGTTGTAATTATTTTATCGATATTTAGATTAAACTTGGTGAAAGAAATTGTTCCAAAAAATATATCTTTTGTTTTGATCCTATTTTTAAATTTTTATTTTCCATGTATAAATATATATACGCCGCAAAAATACGTACCTAGACGCAGTTGCGCCGCATACGGCGCGAATCACCGGCGAATCCCAGCCCAGAGGATAGACGCAAACTCCGACCGCCATGCAGATCGCTGAAAAGGATATTTGGAATATTATTTCACTTGCATAAGACGATATTCAATTACGTTTACAAGGCGATCTAATTTGAAGCTGTTAGACGGAAATGTCGCTCGCTTCGCGGTACAAGTATTAAATACTTTTCTTTTCCGAGGTAATTATACGTTACGTGAAGAGACATAAAATTAGTTTAATGATAAGCGCTAAGCGATCAATGTTTCTCGGCTTATTGACAAGTCGGATACTTCAATTATACGCCTCGTCGAGATTTGTGGTTCTCCTCTTTGCGGTTCTGTCATTTATATCCGCAATCTATGAGACGTAGGCAATGTTCGTGGCATTTATGCGTGCGCGATACGGATGTGATAGCGCGCAGAAAAAGAGAGGCCCCGGTAGTGAAAGGGACTTGGTACAACTTTGTAACTTGTAACGCGATCCGCGTTTTCCACGACGCGGCGATATCCCGACGAGCGATCTCGACGTAAAAGCTTTGACATACGTTACACTCTAAAAAATACAGAGAATCTTTATAATTTACTATAATTAAAACGTCTCGTCTCTCGGTGATACATTTACTTTATTCGTGTTTTATGCTAAGACCGAGCACACCTTTCACTGTCGTGACTTGAGCCATATAACGCTAGCTCGTTTGCAACGAATACGTCGAAACTTTATTGCTAGAGAGACAGTTAGGCTTATATAAGTTACGCTCATTAAACAGATTATATGCGCATCAACATCGTGCAACGCAATATTATGCAATTTTCGCAAATTAATCGCTTTGTTATGTATTAGTGTTGTTTTATGTGTAACTGAAAAATATATAAATGAAGTAAATTCACTTAATTTGCGACTAAAAGATAAAATATAATTTCAAAAACTTTACTATTTAAGTATGCAGAGTAAGCGCATAATTTAGATACGCATCATACAAGAATATCGAGAAGCGAATTGTCATAATTAACGGAATAGGTCAGTGAAGTGCGAAAATATATATATATATATTAACTTGAATACATTTCGCTATACGTCGATAAAATTAATCCAAGCAATTGAGAACCGCAGAAGGCAGTCTGCGTAGAGAGATAAAATCTTAATACAAAGTTATTGCAACGGAATATCGATTCGATAGCAGTCGGTTTGCGTTAATCATAGAGACATTACTGGCTGGCTGGCACGTCGAGGCCTACACATGCACACACGCGGCGCATGCGACAAGCGACCGGCTACAAGGACAAGCGGGGAGTGCCTCGACCCGGGAGAAAGACGAGGAGCGCGATACAACGGCGCGTCTTAAGATGGCCGTTCGGCTAAGTCTCAGGTTGCCAGGTGAGCCTATGAGGTTATTGCATAATTTAATTTATTTTTAAAATATATATATTTTATTATCTCTTACAATTAGAGAGAGAGAATAATGTTAAAGAATGTTAAATGTTAATGTTGAGAGAAAAATTATATTAATATAGGAAAATACCTTTCTTAATAATAAATTTTTTAAACACAGAGAGTATGATGTATGTTCCTTTCTCTTGGTAGATTTATCGCGTTTTATCACGGATGCATCGGATACAATAAAGTCGTATCGGCCGCGCAACGTGCATTTCCAGCGCTCTCTGTTGACCTCTTGTCAAAGCTTCGCAGACAAATTCGAAAATGGCGAACCGCACCGTGAAAGACGCTAAATCTATTCGCGGAACAAATCCGCAATATTTAGTGGAAAAGATTATTAGATCTCGGATATACGACTCTAAATACTGGAAGGAAGAATGTTTCGCCTTGACAGCGGAATTGCTGGTAGACAAGGCGATGGAGTTGAGGTTAATAAAATCAAAACATAACCTTTACGAATATCACTTTTGCCGATAATATTATTCTAATTTCTAATCGTTTAACGGATAAATATCAACATTTATGGAAAATACGTTATTTTCTAATCAATTTCAATTTTTTTTTATAGATTTGTAGGAGGAGTATATGGCGGCAATGTGAAACCCACGCCATTCCTCTGTCTCATATTAAAAATGCTTCAAATACAGCCTGAGAAAGACATTATAGTCGAGTTTATAAAAAACGAAGAGTTTAAATACGTTCGCGCGTTGGGTGCACTGTACATGAGGTTGACCGGCTCTTCCCTGGACTGTTACAAGTATCTCGAACCATTATTCAACGATAACAGAAAGCTTAGGATACAAAATAAGCAGGGTGTATTTGAACTCGTACACATGGACGAATTTATCGATCATCTTCTCAGGGAAGAAAGATGTTGCGATGTTATTTTACCAAGAATTCAAAAGAGATATGTTTTAGAAGAGAATAACGAGCTAGGTATACTATACTAACTTACATTTCCAACTAATGGATATAACATGATTTAGCCATATCTTTTTATAAATGTAATCATTTATATTAAACAGAGGCAAAAGTATCGGCGTTAGAAGACGATATGGATGACGGTATCGAATCATCAGAGGAAGAAGAAATTCTACCTATTAAGGAATCACCGCGCAAGAGACCGGACGATCATGAACGGGAGAGAGATCGTCACAGGGATAGAGACAAGAGACATTCTCGATCCGAAAAGAAAGCCGAAAAGGAAAAGCAGAGATCAAGAAGCAGGGAAAGGGACAGAGACAGAGATAGGAGGGAGCGTAAACGCAGCAGATCACCGAAATCTCACTCATCGTCGCATAAAGATAAAGATAGAGACAGGGACCGTCATAGAAGAGAAAGAGAGCGAGATCGGAGAAGAGAACGTGACAGAACTAGGCATTAAAATGATAAGTACAGTCTTTTGATCGAGTGAATGGGAGGTGAATAAATTGGTGATCCTTTTCTTATTCTCATCATTGTTTGAATGTAGTTAGCGCCGGTATGACACATTTACAGGAATTCGGTATTAAAATCACAATATGTATCCGGAATCGAATCCGTATAACATATTCAAATATATGTATATACATTTTCATATCACTTATGTTATATTACAATTGCTCCATTAAATAAAAAAATAGTGAGCAGTATTGATACATAATAGTGGACGAGTAATAATTATATGCCTGCTCTCTTAGAAACTAATTACGATAATGTTTTGCTTTGGAACTCTTACACTTAATGCATTTCTCACGTTTCATAACGCGTTTGGTCGTTCAAACGTTTCTATATCACTTTTATATATTCTTATATTGCAAAAAAAAAAAAAGAAAAGACCTGGTAATGTTTAAAATGTAGGCGAGTTCAAAATGAATAATCTCTCTTCCTCCTTCTTTATCCACTTTAATAGTTTACTCACTGCCTCGATAGCGTCCGGTTTTGTTACTAGAGGCTCAAACGTTACATATAGTTCAAAACCAGAAGCAACCTAGAGAGAGAGAGAGAAAAGATGTATATTTATATATATATAACCGAAGGACAAGAAATTTTGCGATTAAATTGAAAATAATTTTTTCTCTCACCCATGCTAGCATTGTTTCCTTATCCAGCTGCTGGAATATTAGTTTTAAAGGTCGACTAGGAGAATGCAATCTGTGATGTAAACACTGATAAAGCCCCAATAATCTGAAAAAATTTTATTTTATCGCAGGAATTATATACAAGTCGTTTATTGAACAAGTTTGCAAATTTTACCGTTCTATTTCTTCATCCGTTGTGTAAGGCGGTTGAAGCCCAGGACTCCAAAATTGCGCGGTACTTTTGCACTTGTACAAAACATGTCGCATCTCGGGTAATCCGATGTCGGCAGTCGTTATCGTCGGTTTGTTCATCGACTCGTTTATCGCTTCTAAACAATTCGTCCGCCGCAATTTCTCCACAATTTTCTATCACAGAAGGAGTTCATCGATAAATTCATATTATTCATAAGAATTAAATTTTTCATTATTCGGTTCAATTCGATTTGCGATAATTCTTACTTGCTTGGCGTCCGATAGTACAAAAAATACATCCCTATCGACAGTGAGTAATAATAAACACGCCTGGCAATCTTCCGATAGATAAGAAACATGACCATGCATGTATCCATTGGAGTCGAATTTCGGAAGGCATATCGGCGTCCAACTTTCCGCAGTTTTGAGTGACTCTGAACTGTCTACCAGATTTTGTATTATATGTAAATCCATTGGATGGAGAAAAAATTTGTTCATTCTGACTAATGTTACCAATTGATTGTTAGCTAGAAGTATTGCGAATACTAAATTCTGAAAAATATGTTTCTCCATTTAACAGCGTAATATTTATATTAATTTAAGAAATGAGCAAGTATTCTTCTAATGCTTTTTCTACCTTAATTTTAGCACATGTTTGAATGATGGTCTGCGTAATGGAACTTCTCATGGAAGGAAGTAGGGGCAAACATTTAATGGCCCCTAAAAAGAAAGCTGGCTCTCTATCCATAAAATTCAACAAATGATCTATCAGTCTTTCACTGCCGGTTAGTAATCTTCGTAGATCAAAGTTTCTTCTTTGATCGTACACTCTATTCAACTGAGACTGTGTCAACACAGAGATTATCTGATTATATACATATCTACAATAAATAAATATATGTGCATAAATATCAGATGATATATTTTATCAAGATTATTGTTTTTTAAATATAACACATACGTTAACTGTAAAGTGAGCTGAGGTACACTTTCCAATGTCTTGGACACTGCCACTAAAATTAATGGACCCTTCACAACGAAAACAAAGTTTGTGTCGCCCGCATGTACCGATCTAATCATATCGCTGCCCGCTTGAACAAACGACACTAGAGCCTGCATAACTCCCATAACCGTGACTAGTTTGTCTTCTGAACTGTACCTAGAGTATATCGGCTTTCCCGCCTGACTCAGAATAAAGATATGCTTCTTCTGCGCCCGCCACGTTTTGCAATGCAACGGATCTCCGTCTATGTTACTCTGACCCAAACGGTGTGCGACGTCGTCCTAAAACAAATCGTACTATTTACATTCGAAACGATTTATCAATACACGTGATATGCAATGCGATAACGAATGCAAGGAAGTTACAAACTAACCATTTCGGTATCGTCAAGAGAGAGGGTCTTCTCGGATTCTCGCGGGCTCGGCGCGATAGGAATGTCCTGTGTATCATCCACCTGGATTTCGGAGATGGTGCTGGTGGTGCTCTCCTTCATCTGCCTGTCACCGTCGAAGCTACTGCTCATCTCCTGCTCGTACTCGTCGAAGCTATCAGTGGTGACGAGCATCGTCTCCGTGGAGGCACCGGGCTCGATCCCGGGCTCAGCTATACCGTCGTCGATCGTCTCGACGACGACGGCCGATTCCTTTGCGGCCATCTCTACGACCGGGAACGTCGAACGATGAATCGCTCGCTACTCCGCTATCTTCGTTGATAATGTTTGACATTTATCGACAGCGGGCCATCGTAGATCAGCCGCCATCGCTGCAATCAATTGACTGCGTTCCAAAATTCATTGCTAATGTGCTAGTGCTAGAAATCTACAAGATACGTCACGTGAACTATAGATTTCTAGTACTGGCAGATTAGCAGTGAATTTCGGAACGCAGCCAGTGTTTCTTATCTCGACTCTTGATCGATTTTCGATAAATCGATGCAGCATATATGGCGGCGCCTACGCGCGGAGCCTGAAAGTGAATAACCTGCGGTAATTGCAAGTTGATTAACGAGTTATCAATGCAAGTTATGTGGCAATCGCGTTATCGGGATAACGAGTCATGTCAGAATAGATACCGGCTTCTGTGTTTTCTGCGACGACATTGATTCGGATGTGTGTGTATGTGTGTGTGCACGTATTTAAAACCGGTGTTACGTGTGCAGTTTTAAAATGAACGCCGAGGACGAAACGTGGTTATTGTTATTTCCAATATGTATCAACGCGATAATGTCTGTGAGTGCGTACTATTTGACTGTTCAACTAATTCCGAAGATAAAATCCATGTTTGTCAAAGCTAACCTCTACGGTATTGACATGAGTAAGAGGACCAGTGATAAAGTGTAAGTGACAAGAAAATTATTTGAGTTTAATGGTATTTTGTATATAATATTATTTATCATCACATTCATTTTTCTGTAAATCTTTGTACACAACGATGCGTGTACATGATGACCGGTTTATTTTTGCAGACCGGAGGCGATAGGTGTTGTTACCGGATGTGTGTTTCTCATAATAATGTTCCTATTTATTCCTGTACCATTTACAGATCATATACTTAAAAATGAAAACTTTCCTCACGATAAGGTACGATGAGAAACATTATAAATAAAAAGCTAATAGTAATTTAATCAAATCTTTTTTTTTTGCAATTTGTTTTAGAAAATCAATTGAATTTAAAATGAACATTTTTTTAACTAATATTTTTAGAAATTTATGTTTTAATTTAAAAATATATTTATACTATGATATTATTATATGTTTTTGTTTTAAAAAATATATATAATTGTGTAAATAATATAAAGAACAAGTTTTTTTTCATGTATATTACAGTTTGTTGAATTTCTGGCTGCGTTACTGTCCATATGTTGCATGCTACTTTTGGGATTTGCCGATGATGTCTTGGACTTACGTTGGCGACACAAATTACTTTTACCTACTATAGCATCCTTGCCATTATTGATGGTTTACTATGTTAATTTTAATTCCACGGTAATCATTATACCAAAACCACTGAGACCGTGGGTTGGTTTCTCACTGGATTTATGGATACTTTACTATGTATATATGGGAATGCTGGCTGTATTCTGTACAAATGCGATAAACATATTAGCTGGGATCAATGGTTTGGAGGTTGGTCAGAGTTTAATCATTGCCACGAGCATTCTCATCTTCAATGTTATAGAATTATCTGGCAGTCAATGGAAGGCGCATCAATTTTCAATATATTTTATGCTACCTTATATAGCAACTTCTCTCGCATTATTCAAATTTAATTGGTAAGTTATAGTATTTTTTTGCATAAATAATAATTCTTTTTTAATATTATAATAATAAATTTAAATATATAAAAAGGATATTTTTAAACATAGATTTAAAATTTTCAAGCAAATAAGAGTTTTATATGTATAAATCAATTAACATCTATATTTTGTCAACATAATATTTTAATGTATATAAATTCAGTGTATAATATTACATTAGTGTACATTGAGTATCGAGTATGAATTAATATCACAGTCGGGTGCGACCAGTATGTCAATAGTAATCTAGTTTAGCATAAAAATTTTCTACCAACCAGTCGTACTTCCATGTGTTATTGAGAATCGTTTCAGGCGCAAAGTAGGAATCTCTAGATTTAGAAGCTCTCAGAAGACTGGTTTTACCATCCAACCATAGTCCGCTTCCTATTAGATCCTCAACGAACGGCACATCTATAGTCTTTTCGATATCAATCTCCTTAGACCGAACCTTATTGCGAAGACCGATAATAATATTTGCAGGCGCTTGGCACAGATTGCAGTACCATCCGCCATAGTGATTTAAATCTCCTATGACTAATCCTAAAATATCTCTCTCGCTGGTGTCTCCATCCAATTGCTGTCGCAGTACAAGTGAGTTAGATTGATAGGCGTTACGCATCAAGCCGACAGTGTACGCGCCGAGCGTTATCGTTGTTTTGAGCGGATGCTGCCAAAAGAAGCCGTATACCGACCATCTTAATCTAAATCCAATAGGCTGAGGCCAACCATCGTACACTTTGAGGAACATTAATGCCCTGGAGTTCAGTATCTGTTCAGGTTCCATCATTACATAGATGTCATCGTCCCTTAAATTCTGTACTAAACTCTTGATTTTATCCCAGATGTATTTCGATACTATCCTCAATGGTTTGCGAGACTTTGTTGCTACGTTGATGTATAAGATCTTTTTTTGCTGCCGCTGTAATAGTCCCTTGGACAGTTTGTGTCGAAAATTATCCTCCGCATTGTTAAAATCACAAATTACAAAAAGATCCACCACGTTATAGAGTTCCTCTACTATCACTTCGGCGATGCCTGAATTGTATTCACTCAGAAAGAAGGTGTGGATAATGTGTCTAGCAGTTTTACGACGTTTCAAACTAATGTTCTGCTTCGACGCCATGATCGCTCTCCATACGACTTCAGGCTGTCCGCAATCCCAGCCATGCCATCCTTGATTGCAAATACATCTTTCCAGATATTCATTGCTTCTCATCTTATGCTCGTCTACTCCAAATTTCCAGCATACAGTGTGATTATATATTTCAAACAGCCTAAAAGTTTTGACATCTTTCAGTACTATCTCTCCATTGATTGTCTGATAAATTGGTGATTTTTTACGATTGCCTTGATTTATTTGTAGTTCCTTTAATAACAAACAAAAAAAAACAAATTTTAGTTTTATTATAGAATATCTCGAATAAATTAATCATATACATTATTAATTTGCATTAGTTATACCTGCGATGCCTCAAATTTGACAAAACTGACAGATGCACGAGTCGTTGATATAGTTAATTCAGCCGGCGGGGTTGTGGCGACATAGATCATAACAATTAAAACCTGCAAGATTAATAGAGTATACAGCAACGCCAGTTTCCCATCTAGGCGGACCTGCATGGCATCGATCCCTGTGCTCAAAAGGTCTAATATTTCATTTTATGTCTCTGGAGAAAAATTTTGCTGGCTGTCAAAGACATTTTCGTTAAGATCCTAATCCCATGAGCATCATCTGAGAACAGAGAATAACACAATTATCTTATTTTTGCTGTTATTAATACAATGTATATATGATATTTGTGTAAATATGTCTTCTTATAATGATAGGCTTCATTATATTTACATCATGATATCCTTTAAATTTACATCTTTACTTGGAATCGATTTTCAGCTTATTCGCGTATTTCTATATAACGTAAAATTCATTGACCTCATTTCTCCAGCATTTCATATTTCCTGTATATGTGTGTGTGTGTTCTGTACGTGTGTGTATATATATTTTTTATTGTCAAATCGTAATTATTCTATACAATCGCGAAATTGCATTAATCAACCGCATTGCGGTAAAAGTCGTGCGATAGCTTGTCGATTAGGTTCACCGCGTGAGTTAAACGTCCCGGCAGCTCCATCCGCCCCGCACGCATGTGTCATCGACACTGCTAAATATTACGTAATAAAGCGTCGCTCACAATGCGATTTCCATCGACGGTATCACCAGGGTTTCGTTGTGATGTCCTTTGCACGAGGATGTCACCGTGACGCAACGTGTCATTTAATTCGCGATGACCGCGATCTCTCTCGTTGGATCGTCTACGCCAGTCCTGACGAATAATTTAAATGGATCCCACGGCGACTATACGATCGGCAACCGGCGTGGACGTGCGATACCGCACATATTTTTAATCCTGCCAATAGTCGCTAGCTGGCTGGTCCCCGTTGATCGGGACTCCAAAAGATACAAAGGGATTCCTTTTGTCTCCAGGCCGGGTAGCAGCACACACAGACACACCGCGACGACGTGAAAAACCACGCCCGAGTGCCGCACCAGCCAGCCGGCGATCTGCCCGTGTATTCATCGACGAACACACTCTCGACACAAACGCGATCGTGACTATTCGCAAGGCGCACGCGTCTTAGAGAGGCATCTCGTTAACCGTGCTGGTCTATATATCATCCCCCGTTGTCGAGCACGAGTAATCGTCTTGCGGACGAGTCGGGCCCGCCCATGAGTCAGAAGCCAGATATCTCACATTATTCCCGCAAAAATTAAATTCTACAACGAAAATGAAAACTCTCGATATCACATATGGCTTCATCTTCTTATATGATTCTCCAAATATGATTCTCAAATGCGTTCACGTGTTTGTAGTCATCATGGTCGTTCTTCGTCCTTCCTTATAGTCGTGGAGTAATGGCGTATCAAACTGGTTTCTTCAGCATATGATGTCTTATATATATTTAATATATTCATGAATTTTTTTATTTTTATATAGGATACCAGATCTCTCTGTATAAATAGCACATATTGTTAAAAAAATAAAATTTTAATACAATATTATGTGAGGCAAAATTAGGATGTATTTAAATAATATAATTTGTTAAATAATATAAAATATAATTATGTTAAGATAAGATTATAGGATTAATAATTATAAAAATAACAATTTTGTTTAAGGTATCCATCGCAGGTTTTTGTGGGCGATACATTTTGTTACCTTTCGGGAATGACTTTTGCTGTTGTTGGTATCATAGGTCATTTCAGCAAAACGACTCTATTGTTTTTCATCCCTCAAATAATCAATTTTCTATATAGTGTGCCACAGCTTTTTCATTTTGTACCATGTCCTAGGCACAGATTACCAAAGTAAGTTTCAGAGACAGTTAAAAAACATTATTTATAAACAATTTTGTTAAAAAATTTATGATGAGAGAAACATTATGTATATATTCTTTTTATCCATAGGTATAATAAAGAAACTGACAAATTGGAGCCTAGCATAACTGTATTTAACAAATCAGAACTGAACACAATTGGTATATATTATAAATGTGGCACATACACACACATATTAGTAAAGAAATTATTCATAATATTGTATAATGCCATTATATTATAAAATTCAATTTTTCTTTACTCTAGGAAAACTATTAATGTGGATACTAAAAACGTTCAAATTGATAAAGTGGCAAGAAGATGGAAATGGTATTGTAACTTGCAATAATCTAACTTTGATCAATTTTATATTGATCAACACTGGTCCATTAAAAGAACCGACACTAACAACGATTTTATTAATAATTCAGGTAACAATATATATTTTTTTAGTATAAGTATATATATATGTGTGCATTATTTAAAAAATACTTAATGTCTTTCAGGTTATTAGCAGTATATTGGCATTTATTATTAGATATCCTCTGGCTTCCATATTTTATGATATTTGAATAAATGTAAGATTACATATATTTTCTTATGTATAAAAAATATGATGTACATATTTGAAAAAATTATACATGATCATCTTTCTTTCTCTCTTTAGTAGCTATTGCAAATATAGATTTATCAAAATATCATATTATAGTTTATAAATCACAAATTTATTGTATTTATATGTATATGATCAATATGTATATATGTGATTATAATTCTCTTCTCTTTATTACAGAATTTCGTAGGTCTATTTTCAAATTTTACACGATGCCATTTTGTACTAAAAAATATGTTAAAGATATTCAATTTATTAATGCATTTTTTATTTTCTACAGGATAAAAAATAAGTAAATACAGATTTTCATATAAATTTCTTATTATATGAACAATTATGTACATATTTCAGTTAAAAACATTATTACCTGATGTACATAATAATACAAAAAATTCATGCTTTTAATAATAGGCTACTGTCTTTACATGTTTTTTTTTTTTTTTTTTTTTTTTTTTTTTTTTTTGTAAAGTATTTTGAGCAAATGGCATTAATAAATATGATTTATGCTCTCGAAATTTGAGAATTACAATTATAAAGTAATTCACAAATACATATCAAATTTTAATATTTGCATATATTAACACAACATAGATAAACAGAAACGTACAAATAAAACTTGCACTTCTAAAAAAAATTGCCTATAAATATCAGTTTATAATAAATATTTTAAAGCTTTGATGATCTGTGCAAACGCATTTTTTATATCACTAACCTTTTTTGTGCAAATCAGAAATTAAATGCAATTAAAAATAAAGTACCATTATATAAGCTTCACACGGTCTTTTGATATAAAATAATATGGAATAAACTACTTGTATATTCCTAATCAATTTTTCTGATATCCTGTGTGATGAAGATGGATACACGTTAATACAAAATTTGATCCTTTAGATTTGGTAACAGTGCATACTTTTTTATTATTTTAATTTTTCGATAATTTAAGACATAGGATTCGGGATAAATCGGGAAGGCGTCCGAATGATGTCCATACCCAATCTATTCTGTAAATTAAGTTGTGTTTTTGCAGCATCTCTCAGACTGTATATGTGTGTGAGTTCCATGGATGTACGACACAACTCCAAAGCTTTATCAAATAATCTTATTGCTTCCTCTATGTTCCCTCTGTAAATAAAAATATATAATTGGTAATATAAAAATATATTTACGCAAGATACAAGTTTTAATTATAAAGAAAGAATGCCTTTAAAAAACATACCTTTGCACTTCGATACTTCCTAATGATTCATATGCATGCTCACATTTCTCATCCGTCTCTAATGCTTTGTGAAAATATTCCACAGCTTTATCAATATTACCATTCCATTGTAATTGTAACAAGCCTCTATGCACATAGACAGTTGCATTCTTTGGATCTATCTCTATAGCTTTAGCAAAATACATATCCGCTTTATTGTATTGTTGAGTTTCAGCCATCATCTATAATAATCATTAAAAATTTCATCAATGCAATCAGAATATATACAGTAATAATAATTTATTTATTCTTTTTTTAATTTGCGACTTTATTACTTCTTTCAATATTAAGAAATTATACCTGAGCATACAACATGTAGCATTCAGAACGATCCGGGAATTTTATGAAAGCTTTTTCAAAATCTTTCATTGCCTCTTCGGCTAGTGTCACATCTCTGTTGAAGATTGCGAAACGATAATCTGTGTAACATTTTTGCACATATGCAACACCAAAATCTGGGTTATAATGAATTGCCTTTTCATAATCGCTTTTAGCTTCATCTATTCTATTCATGAGTAAATTCACCTGAATTGAAAAACAATTGTTATTAAATTATTTCATAATATATAATCTTACTCTTATAAAAACATGCAATAGAAAAAATATGTAATACCTGTCCTCTATGATGATAAATATCACCATAATTTGGATCCATACTAATAGCTAATTCAAAGTCCTTGAAAGTCATGAATGGATTGTCAAGTTGCATATGTAAAGTCGCCCTCTTTATTAGGGCGTTTACTTTCACGTCTTTGGACGTTTCTTCGCTATTTAATATACTCTCGAAATCTTGAATCGCAGCATCGTGCTCGCCCAAGAGAAGATGAAATGTAGCTCGGAAAAGTAATACTTCCATTTTAGACGCAGGTAACTCGTTAAATTCAGAACTCTTTATAATTTCTGTGCACAACGGTATTATATCGTCATACTCTTCGTCTTTTAATGCTTGTAATGGTTTTTTGAAAAATCTGTGATAATTGAATAATGGTAAACATTATAATTAAATTAAGAGAAAAAACATCATAATTACTATAGAAACTCTTGTGTTAATACTTACTTTGGGATATCTTCTAGATGTTGAAGTTTAGTAAATACTGGATCATTAGGAAAAGATATAATGTAAGTTTTGATGAAATGTTTGCTTGGCATTATGAATTTTTTTTTTGCTAAATTTTCCTGAGCATGTTGCTTTCCTGAAAATAATTTTTACTTTATTATTCAATTTTTTTACTTTTCAGAGTTTTTTGATTTGTGAAAAATAGCATTTTATTTAACACCAAAATGTTTTTACATATATATAACTCACCAAGCTTTCCCAAGACTTTATCTGCCATTGAAAGGGAAGTTTGATTAGAAAAGCCTTCATGAATACATGCGGCAGTGACATCTTCCAAGGCAGCTTCCAAATCTCCTATCTGTTCCAAAGCACGTGCTCGGCGTAACAAAGCTTTTGCATATTTTGGATTTAATTCCAATGCTTTTGTACAATCTTTCTTTACAGCAATATAATTTTTCTGCAAATTTACTATTATAATGCATAAGAACTAGTAATTATAATATATATAGTTAATTCAGACAATCAACAAGTATTACACTTGTATACTATATCCACTATTATTATAACTAATTATATTACCAATTGTTCATATGCAGCTGCCCTATTTTGGTAAAAAGTTGCGAGGTCCTCTTTATTCTCGTCTGGACAAATGTCAATGGCTTCATTATATCGTGATATGGCTTCATCATATTTTCCCATTTTGAATTGTACATTCCCTTCATTCTTGTATCTTTGTGCCTTTTGTAAAGGAGTCTAAAATGAAAGTTTGCATGAGTTAGTCATATTTTGTGTATCAATCTAACTCCATTATGCTATCTTCTGTAACTTATAGTAATCTAAAGATATATATGGTATATATAGTACCAATTGTGGAGGCTATTATATGGCTACATGGACAATTATTTCATTGACAAATTCAATATTTTTTTAAAAAGATAAACAAATATATAACAAAAATTCATTATCAGAAATTAATATCATAGTCTTGTCAAAATTCTCATTTGAATGTAAAATCGATATTTATTACTAAATTATATCATTTGTATATTTGCAGCTACTTCTATTTATTGAAAATTATCATTTGTGATAACAGCAATAACTCAATGGAATTCTATTTATGACTCATCAGCTAAGAATAATACTTTAATACATATATTAATTTATTGTTATTGCTAATGACGTTTTTCAAAAATTAAAAAATACTGACAAATACAATGTAGAAGATATTTTCTCTTTTTTTTTTTTCTGAATTAACTATTCTCGTCAGTTAAATAAATTTTCGTGATAGTGACTCATAATCCACGATCTCTTAACCTCCGACTCAGCCTCGGGGGAAGGCACTTTTGGTGGACAGTCGCCGTCGATGGAGATCTGCTTGTCGGCAGGCGCCCCATTCTCCTTGGACGACGTCGCGCCGCTCCTGAACTTATCACGTTCCGATTTGGTGATCCTATCGCTGCTGCCGCTGCTATTATTCTTGTTCTTGTAATACATGTAGCCGAGGCCGAGGGCGACCGGCGCCCCGACCACCAGGGCGAGTTGCCATTTTGGCAGCGGACTGCTGCCAGCCACGCCACTCGTGGCGGTCATAATTCCTTCGACCGGGAATTATTATTCGCGCTTGGACACGGTCACGATGCGACACCGGTACCACGATGCAGACGACCGCGAATCTCTCACCGATGTAACTGGCGAGTCTGCGACAAAACGCCAAGTCCAAGCGACGATCATGCGGATACACGCTCGCGCGCTTATTCCAGACCTGGTGCCGTTGCTGCTTCGCGTTGCACACGATCCTCTCGATCGTCTTCGACAAAGACCACCGACCAAGTCGAACTGATATCTAATATCTGATGCTATTTCATGACGGCTCACGCGCTCACGAGAGTTCGTAAAAAGTTTCGCCGCGCCCTCTCGACAAATATTACTGAAGAAACACCCGGAGTTCTTATAAAAAATATGTGAAGTTGTTGTTTTTTGTATGATAAGAGAATTACGGATAAGAAAAAATTTCAATAAGGAAAACATTTCAAATAGAAAATTTTTGAAAAATTTGTTCTTTGTAGTTACATATTTGGTACTCTCTCTCTTTACAGCTATAAAGAACAGACCTATCATCTTTTTCACAATTTAAAATATTCATCAAAAAATATATTAAATATGATATATTAAAGGATATATTAAGGAGGATACATTAAATATACTATTTTAAAAATCTAGTCAATATTTTATTCATAATTTTTTAAATATCGAATATATTCGATAATATCGACTAACGATAAACATGTCTAGCCGGAAAAATGGCGACGATCTGTCAACAGCAGCTACGTTTTATCAAATACTATGCCACTGCTAACCCATTGCAACTGAGAAAACTCGCAAAATATGGAAGCTTTCGCCACAAAGCATGCTAAACGACCGAAAGTGTTCTTTTCGTCGTAGACAATTTTAACGGACATCGAATTTTACGTATTTTCGTACAAAACGCGATTCTTCGCTGCGACATTTATTACTACAATGGCACTACAAGAGGACGAAAACACCTGGTAAAGTGATAAAACACAGCTATTTTATCTCATCGAGGAATGTCATATTTTTTTGCCATAAACGCAAACTGCTGTTGCATTAATATACAATATTAATCGTTTACATGCGAATCGAGATCTGTAGTATGCTTGTGTTTTGTGATATATACATATCAAATTTGTATGTAAAAAAAGTTTGAACGTAACGTTATCCGTATATTACGTAATCGTTCTATACGAAGTGCAGTAGAATGTAGCGAAGAAGTAATGACACGTGATATAATTTGAAAGTTTGCTAATTAGTATGCGCTAATCAATATGTTACGTTCATACAAATTGTACATATCTACATATTGCGTACAATCATTTTATATACATTTTCATTTTTTACATAGTTTCTGCAAATAACAAGTTTTTTTTGTTTAGTTTTATCTCTAAGTTAATTCTTTAATATTTCAGGATATTAGAATTGGAAGCAGCGCTGCTTGATACAGAAGCACCATCTGCATCTGATATATATGCCATTTGTAAAGGCCAACCAATCCCTACAAATTTAAGACCCGATGTTTGGCAGGCTTGCCTCTATGTTACTGATCGACGCGATCAATTGAGCCAATTTAATGAAGTTTTTGATTTACCTGAACAAAATATAATTCGTGATGACTGTCAACAATTAGTCGGTAAGTATGTAGAAAGGATATTACATAGGTTTCTTATTCAGTAGCCTTATTTATATTTATATTAACTAAGACTTATTTTCAAATATTATAGCAAAACTTGGCAATGATGATGAAGATAAAGTCTCTGTAGTTTCTGACCTTGAATCCATATTAACATTTTATTGTAAAAATAAATGCAAACAATATGAAAGAGGAAATGGATGGATAGAATTATTGGGTCCTTTAATAGCTTTAAAATTACCACGTGCTGCAACTTATAATCTTTTTGAGGCAATAAGAGATATCTATATTCCAAGGTATATATACGTATCATATATTCATATATAAGTAGATGATTACTAAGTAAAATAGGCATCATCTTATTGATAATGCAAGAAATTTTGTTAGCAAGGACTATGTTAATGTAAAATCAGTTATTTATCATTTTTTCTATAATATATATATTTTAGAGGCGAAACATACAGCTCAGTTTTAAGATTACTGCTGCTCTATCATGAACCAGAATTGTGCTCGTTTTTGGATACGAAAAGGATATCACCCGATCAATATACAAAAGTATGGATGAATACACTATTTGCTGGTGTTTGTTCATTGCCAGCAATCTGTACTATGTGGGATCTGTATTTTATGCAAGCTGATCCATTTTTCATGCTGTTTCTTTCACTTATTATGATTATAAATGCCAGGTAAATCTCAATTAAATTGGTATTTTACTATATTTGTTAGTAACATTATATAATTTTCATCTTGTAATCTTCATCTGTAGAGAACAAATCTTAAGTATGAAAGACGAGGAGAAGCAAAATATAATAGATGCCATAGCAATAATGCCATGTGCTCTAGAAGCAGAGGATGTAACCGATTTCTGTTCCTTGGCACAGTACTACGCAATGAAAACACCAACATCTTTTAAACAGGATTTGTACCCCATAATGTTCGGCGAACATTCTGATGAGAAGTTAATATCTCATGCATTATGCTTACCAGTATCGGCACAAGAATTAGTAGAAAATGCTATTGAAGCTCCATCCATACCTAATACTGTCGAGGTTGTTAGATTCTTTCTCGTAGACTGTAGACCTGCAGAACAGTATAATGCAGGCCATTTACCAACAGCATTTCATCTTGATTGTAACTTGGTAAATATTATCAATTATAAGAATATTTGTATCAAGCCATTTTTAAAACTCTTACTAAAATGATATGTTTATATGCTTTAATTTTTTATATATATTTAAGATTCAAAACAATTACAAAAAAAGATTAAATATATTTGTTTGTTTTTAGATGCTTCAAGAACCTGCCGCGTTTGCTACAGCAGTGCAAGGTTTATTGCAAGCTCAACGCCAAGCGCTAGCTGTTGGCTCGCAAGCTGGTGGAGAACATCTTTGTTTTTTGGGAAGTGGTAGACAAGAGGAAGATCGTTATACGCATATGGTAGTAGCATCCTTTTTACAAAAGCATACACAATATGTGAGCATGGTTACTTCTGGGTATCAAGGTGAACTATATTTCTATTTATTTATGTAGATTTTGAAGTTGATAAATTATTTTTATACCATTATATAATTTTTTATTTTGTTTTTCAGCCATTCATGAATATTTCGGTGATGAAGTGGTATCAAGTCTCGTTGATCATAATTCGCAACATTGTCTGGTATGTAATACTAACATGTCGGAAGAAAATTCAAACGAAGCGAGCCCTGTGAAAGTTAAAAATAACAATTCCGATCTTTTGGGGAAAATCGGATTAGCTATGAAATTAAAAAGCCAAGAAGTAAAAGGAAAACTGTTCGATTATATCGTTAATCCTACGGCGAACGTCAATAGCAATACAGAAAAGAGAGATAGTAAAGATTTAGACTACATAAAACGTCAAAGAAAAACTGCGCCCGTATTTAGTATAGACGACGATCAAGAAATAGGTAGGCATTTTTCGAACTATCTTGAAATATAGTTTCTATATATAAACTGTTTATAAGAAAAAATTATAAATTAAATCTGATAAATCCATTTCTCATAGATATGACTATGACTAATAATGAAAGTGAAGAGCCTATTGAAGTAGTATCTATACAGCAATGGATGAAAGATCCTAAACTATTACATTCCTTTAAATGCCAAGAGGTGAAAGTCAATGGTGATCTCTGTGATAGGTGAATGTATAACAAGAACGAAATTTTCTCTTGTATATAAAAACGATCGCATTTGCACACACATTTCCTCTGTTTCAGTCAACTACTGGTTACCGATAGTCATCTTATAGTACTACGAGAAATCCCGGAGCGAAAAGGTGCCGCGCATGTAATTGTGAAACGTCCTTTAACGAGTATCGTTAAAATAACGTCGAGAAAGCGACATGCCGATCTAATAACTTTTAAATACGGTACAACACAATATAATGATACGGTTATTTCCGATATGGATAAGTTTCTTATACCCAATGCAAGCGAAGCGACTAAATTGATAACACAACAAATCATGAAACAATTAAAAACATCTGATTAATATCACAGACACATATTTTATTTAAAAAATTCGAATTACTGTACAAAAATCATAAAATCCAATTTTTAATGAGAAATTTTTCTAACAAATTCAGTTTTGACAATATGCAAAAGTATTTAACTTTTTTTGTTATATAGTTATTTAGATTTTTATTTGTTTGTATATATATATATATTGTCTATTATATTAAATATTGTCATTTCTCAAAATTAATATAAAAGTATTGATATGTACAATAAGTAATTCGAAATTCATGAACTTTTTAATATTATGTAAAAATAATTCTAATTGTTGATATGTCAAAATATATTGATTACTGATTTTTTTGTATATAAAAATTATGATTTTGTCATGTTATGAACAGATAAATTTAATTCTTATATAACTTCTTATATGTTTCATTAACACAATGATTTTATGCATGTACATTATTTAGATAGTCACAATTTTTCTCAACATCAGGGTGGATGACTGACCTAAAAACCAATGCGTTCATAACTTTGTAAATCACATTTATATATAATTGTTATATTAACCATACAAGAGAGAATACATTTTAGATTTCTATTAGAAATATCTAAAGGCCTTAAATTTTTTGTTGCATAACAGTTTTCATAAAACTTTCGCAATGCTAATATTTATTCATTTGATTAGAGACTGAGATCTTGTAGAAAATAATCGAGAGAAGTAATGAATAAACAATTAATATTGTTTTTTAATACACATGTGCCTAACTAATGCACATTGTTAATTATTCTTTGGTTGTGACATATAATATAAATGAATATTGAAACAGAAATAATTTAATTGATAATTTTATTCCTAACACGATTTGAAGACATTTACTATCTGCTGTTATATAAAATTTGCATTTTGTAGATTGCCATATTGTGTTTTTGTAGGACAAATCTGTTTATATAAATTATGTAAGTGATTATTAAGTGCAATGTTTGCAAGCAAATAGTATCTTTCACATCTTGTTTGTTGCTAGCATTTTTCAAAGAGTAGTTAAAAAGCTACATAAAAAAAAAAATACTTTCAAGAAAAGATTATATTTACCAATTAAATCTTCTTGTGTGTGCGTATATTTGTGAATATTTGTACTTAACATTTTTTTTTTTTTTTTAGATTACGTTAACTGCAAAAATATATAAGATGTCCCTGAAATTTTCAAGTAAACAAAATCTGACGACTTACTTCAGGAACACTATATAGTTTTGCATTTGTGATGTATTTATATATAAAATAAGTTATAGTAATTTATAATTGCATTACTTCTGATTATAATCTTTGACAATACCAATCATGTGAGATAATGTTCCTTACACATGTTCTACTAATAAATATAAATGAGTTTGCTCTTGTTACAGCTATTTAAATATAATTTGTGCATATAGCTTTTTTACATTCATTCATAACATTCATAAACTAATTAAAAATTCATTGAAATATAAAAAGCAATTTAAATATCTACAAATTATAACAAATTTATCAGAAGACTAGAAAATTCATATATATGTTGTTGATAGTTTAAGTATTACCATAAATTTGCTAGTAATAATATTCAACATATACATAATTTTTCAATTAAACTATGAGACGAATAACATAATAATTTTTCAACTTTCTTGATATGTAGTACACATCATATGTGTATATGTGATAGAACTTTTCCATGTACGAGCTTCCAAATAGACTATTTGGAAATAAAAAATATAAATAAATTATATGTGGACAGCATTCAAAAATTTACTTTTAAGGAATTGTACGTTTAAAATGTGTATGTTTGTGTATAAAGCTTGACAACTATTAGATATCTGTTTATAGATATGTGTGTGTGTGTAAATAAAAAAGCCATGTGTGTATAATATAAAAAATAATATATATATAATAAAGATTTTAACAAAATAATCCTTTAATTTGCATATTACACTCCTTTATTGAATTAGTATAAACAGTATATAAGATATATTTACACAGATTGTGGTATCAAAATTTGATGTCTCAAAATATGTATCATATATAACTCACATATATCTTAAAATTTATTCTATTTTTGAATATGTTTAAAAAAATTAAAATGTATCAAAATATAAAGTTATTTGAATTTTATAATTTGACACACACATATATAAAATTTCTTTAATTTTAAAAGTAAAGAGATTAGTATTGCTAATTAATTCTTATAATCTGAATCTGTCTAATTCTCTATTAATTTGCTAATAAAAAATTGTAATGTTCTGATTTGTAAACAGTCATTATATTAAAATTAACATATTGAATATATTATACAATATATAACATAATTTTTGAAAACTATTGTGTAAAGTTTGTATTATCACGAAGAAAAAAATTTATAACAATTTAATATTAATGGTAATACACACTCTATCACTTTGTTTCATAATTTTATTTGTGGCACACATGTTTATTATTTTAAAAATTTAATATTGATACTGTGTATGTGTGTGTTTATACTAGAAGTTTTCTGCTTTCTGTCGTCTCCTTAGATTGAGTGTTTTGTACAGGATTTTTTGAATATAAAATAATGGCTAAACTTACCATAGCTATAGAAATGACAGTATTTGTATTAATAACTATATTAAACAAAATCCAGCATAACACTGCTGTAAAAATCAGTTCCATTGCACTAGCAAAAGTCTTTAATATAGAATTTAAAGTTTTCAAGAAGAAACTTGTTATTATTCCAACAATTGCATTATTTAACATAATTAATATTATTTTCGGTTGCAAAGATGAACTGATTTCAACGTTATTAAATGTATCGCTAACACTGTTCTTGAATGTTGTCAATAAAACAATTGCTATAATATTGCAGAAAATACTGTCAATATACATAAATACATTTTGTACAAAAATGTCAATGTCTGCACCTTGATGCTTGAGCAAGTATTCATTATAAACACCAGCTAAACAAGAGCATGTTGTCTGAAAGTAGAAAATTTTTCAGAAAATGATCATGTCTCCAGTCATACAAATATTACCAATAAAATTTAATATACCTGTATAAGAATTAGAAATAGAGAAATATCTACATGGAATTCTGTGTCAAAGACATGGACATCAAAATGTTTTATCATACAACCAACTGTCAAGATTACTAGTGAAAACCACTGTATCGTAGACAATTTTTTGCGAAAAATGACCTAGAAAGAATCTATATAGAATGTATATATAAAGAAGAATGAATCTATAAAGAATGTATATAAAGCTCATTCAACATTTATTATCCTTCTGTTATCATGCTAAAAAATATATCACCAATATACTTGAAATATGATTCCCGTAAGCACAACGCGAAATTGCAGCAAAATATAGTATGTTGTAGGATCAAATCTAGCCAAATTGACAAATGCTAGATTGTTGTAGAGACAGTATAAAAATGCAGGTATCATATACAGTAGAAGCACTAAAAATGGACAGAAATTTTCTTTAGTCCTTTGTGAATCTCAATGACACCAGATATTTATAGCACAAATTTCTGAAATTCTTTATCTATTATTATAGTCTCACCCTTTTTATTCTTCTTTGTCTCCTGAATTAGAGTTAAAATACTATTGCTGTAAATTAAAATAAGTTAATTAAAACTAGGATGACCCCCCCAGTTGTACAAATTAAATTTCCAAATTGTTTTACTTACTCCTTACAATAGAGTGCTGCAGATATAACTAATTTTAAAACTTCTGTCATCAATACAACTGCCACAGTATTATACTCATAACGACCACTTCTTTGAGACCATGTCACAAGAATACCTGTATAACAGATTAGTATCATAAATTCTGACATTGTTCTTTCATGACAAAACCAACATATTATTAATATTTTAGTTAAATGTGTAAAAATTTATTCTGTTACCGATTTATTATTTATATTGATAGAAATAAAAACTGTACAATACATGGCCATGTCATCAACATACCTTGATTTATAAAAAGAGCTATATAGGAAATAAATATGACAGAACTCCATCTTCCCGGAAATAACTCGCTCCAACTTATTCCTCCCATTTTTCTGTTATTTTTTTTTTTTTTTTTTTTTTTTTTTTTTTTTTTTTTTAATTATATCAACGTACACTATTTTGGCAAAACATTGTGACAGCGGTTCCTTTATCGTACTTCATGCGCACCTTAATGCCAAATCATTGCGCGAACTAATCAACTAGCGAAGGCCGGATATTAATTCTGATATCACTTGGATACGAAAGATACATCTACGCGTGTATGTAACTACATTTGTTCAACAACTTCAAAAATTTGTCAAATTTAATATATACACATATATACATATATATATATATATATAAACTGACAAATTCGAGATATTTTCAACATTTTTTACTTATTTTATTTTTTAAATATATCACAGAATATAAATTTTTTATACACATTTTATTGTTATAAAATATTCTTCAATTCTCAGTGTGATTTTGTGTATGTGTGTGTGTGAACAATAGATCTTCTAATAACTTGGTTTTTTTGAACTATGCAGGAGCGCCCGCGCGATTTAACCACGTTGCGATTGACCACAGCCATTCACAGTGGCTGCTGTTTGGGAGTTTTCCACTGGACCAACCAATCAGAAAGTCCTGTGTTGAATTGGCTACATGGCAAAGTGGACAATCGGGTACCATTCGCCTTCTTCTGGTGCGGGCGACTCGACGCTACAAATGCTCCAAAGCGTTTTGTTTGACAGTCGGTACAAAAAGTTTTCGGGACTTGAAGAATTCTCTATTTGATAACCAATTGCATGACACAAATCTACTTGTAAATATGTGTTCATTCATGGGTCATCTCACGATTCATCTGACATTTGCGACTTCGAATTAGCAATTACTATCATTAAGTAATTACACGTGATCTCGCCGCCGGTTCTCTCCTTATCTTCACTTACACACGTATATGTTGCTCTCTGTCTTTTTTCTTCTAAATGCATTCCATTTATCGCTTTATCTTCTTCGCATTTTTGCGAATCGAGCAGTAAAATCGAAGGGGCACAGTATGCCACACTATCTGTTCGTTATCTATTCGTAGAAGTTGAATAGGAGTGATTTAAAAATATGTGTGAACTTGACTCCTCGAAGAGGAGATCTTTGTATATATGCTCTTTATCAAATGCTGCGTGCGCGTGCGTGTATGTGTGCGTGGATATGACAGATCCCGTAATGGTTCCGCTAGCGTGGGCGTATATGTGATATATGTGTGGTGTGTGTAGTTTGTGTTTTCTCCCGATTAAATCCCGATTACCGGCTCGTGTGATCCTCTTTCGAAATTTTGTCTTTTCGGATAGCGCCGCTTTGCTTACGATTCTCCCTATCGT